GGGTTGTTGTTGCGAGTTCCCTTTGGTCAGCCCGACCAAATTGCGCTCTGGTCCGTGCATCCTGCTGACATGGTCAGCGGTGTTCGTCGGAGGCGGGAACAGGCGTCGAAATGGCTCTGCCGCTCCTGCACCAGCACACGAACACCAAGACGGGTTTGTTGTGACTTAGTTGCGTTACGGCAACGTCGTGCTTCATGCGTGTTTTGGACAAAGGGCCACTGCAACCTCAAAGATGTTGGCCCACTTTTGCCCTGTCAGCAAAAGGCCCAGGGAAACGCCACGCTCACCCCAGGTTCTGCCGTCTCAGCGAAGGATCTGGATTTGGTAGCCTTTGAGCAAACAGCTGCAGCCGCTGCAGTAGCAATGTGCTGGGCAACAGCATGGGTAACCAACGCGTGACACATGCAACGACCAGCGGGAGGTAGCCACCGACACGAGTTTCAACCAAAAGGAGTTCTAGGGTCTTGAGCTCATTGTCATGAATCAGTGGTTCCATGGAAGTGAAGGCCAAGTCACATGGTGCCAAGCTGGCGCAAGCGTGCACGAGTGCTGCGTGCTGAGACTACCTCCTCAGCGAAGCCGCTCGCTGCGCAGGCACATGACATGACGAATCGCACCCACAAGCTTGACCCCACCAGTGCCAAGCTGCAGGCAAGCACGGCCACAATTCAGTCGGATATCGAGGCTAAGCTGAAGCAGTTGGCCGAGCGGCAGCAGGCGTTCAAGGAGAAGCAGGTCTCTCGTGAAAGCTTGTCGCTGGAGTATGTTGAACTGTTCAAGCACACCATCCCGCTCCAAGGCCCTAGCGCTGGCAAAGAGGCGGCATCGGCCAGCTTCCAGGCCAGCCTTCAGCTGACGCGGCAAGTTGCACAGCAATTGGGTGGCGACCAGAAATTGGCAGCAGCCCGCGCGCAGCACGCGGTGTCGCGGCTTGATCGGGTTGAGAAGGCAGCGGCTCGGATTCCAAATCCTCGACCGCAGCACCCTCGGGCTCCATATGGTGATGCCCGCAATTCTCTGCGCGTGGGAATGGACGTCGACGACGCTGACCCCGCTGATCTCAAGCATGTGGCTCAGAGATGCGGAGAGAATGGACTTGGCTCCGAAGAGGAAGTGCGCGCAGCGATCATGCGCATTTAGCGGGTCTCCCGTGCGTCTGCAGCCGCGCGCCCCAAGAATTCTGTTCTGTATAAGTTTACGAATCGCGCAGTTGTGGTGATACAGTTTCTCCTGCTGCGCGTCGACCTCGGCTTCGTCGTCGGCGGCGGTTCCAGCTGGGCGCGCATTGCATTTCCCTGCCCCATACAGCGATGCACGCGGTTACGAGGATATGATGCTGGGCCGGGCAGCCTCTGCGGATAATGGCACTCGTCGTCCAGGGGGCGCTTGCTTGCGTCGACGCGACGCATGCGATGCCATCAGGCTGACAGGTTAGGCGCTGACGGCTAATATTTCGCATCATGGCTGCCCCTTCGGATAATCATCGGTGGCGGCTGCCAAAGTTCTCCTTGCTCAAGAACAGCATGTTTCTATTGAACAGGTGGCCAGCTTGCAGTCTCAGACTCGGGGCCTCGGCCGGCGCGGGCACGGGGCAGCGGCGACGCCGAGTGCGAAGCCCGAGAAGGGGGCGGGCGCGGGAGCCCCCATCCTAGTCCGCAGCCCCCTGAGGCGATCCCGGGGCGCCGTTTGTCCACGCGCATTCATTGGGGGGTGCCTGGCGGCTGCGTCGTCGGCAGCATTCGCTCGGGCACGGAGGGTGGTCCGGGGCCCACCAAAACGACAGACATCTGGGAATTCGCACATTTTGATTAGTACCAAGCACGATCGGCCCATCGGATGCCAACGGCCATGCGCGGCAGGCGCGGGCACTGGCGGGCTCTACCACGCCTGGAGAACCCATTTTCCCGACGCGCAGGCAGGCCGCACCAGGCGCGATCTTGGGCCGCCACATCGCCGCGCCCAACCTGTCGGACAGGCTACGTGACGAAGCGCTAGCTGGCGACGGGCCATCGCTGCACCTGCATTCGCCCGCCATGGCCACGGCTGCTGCCCAAGACGTGCCACTTGGGCATCGGGTGTGTGATATTCCAAAAGTGCCGGCAGAAGCGCCGACCGGGCGCCTTCGATTCCCGCTGGGCCAGGACCGCGCCCGGACGACGGGGGGGGGCCCGACGCCCGGGGCGCTTCTGCCGCGCGGGGCCAGCTCGTGCATGGCCAGGGGGTGGAGTTGAGCAGCGGGCGCGACCTCTTCGGCCCTCGTGCGCTTGCATATCGGAGGCGGTCTGGCGCGCCCCTTCTTGCGACAGCGCGCGTGGCAGCCGACCTCGAGCGCGCCAGCGGGCGCCCTGTCTCTCGGGCATGGAAGACTGCTTCGCGCCGGGCGTTCCACCTGCAGCGCGAGCGCGATCGTCTGCGAGGGCTCGTCTCGAGCACGCAGATGGCCAAAGCGATGTGCACCGCCAGTGTCTTGGAGTGTCTCCTCAATACAGGCCCCTCAGGAGGCCCCCCGTTTTCTGGCCAATGCGCAGGCAGAACCATTGCACTGCAGTGTACCCACGCAACTACGACCATCTCTGGCCATGGGTTCGCAGGCACCTGCGGCGCCTGGGTTTGACGATGCCTTTTTCGCAGCGCGGGGTTCAACGCAAGCGGGCCCCGAGCTGGGGGCTCGCGCCAGTCGCGCACGGCATGGGAGCCGCGGGCGCGATAGGAATATGCAGGAGGTTCTTCGCTGGCGCACCAGGCATCCAAGGTGCTGGCGATGAATCAAGTCTAGGATGTTCCTGTGGGTGCTATCCCACTCGCCTCTCAAGGACCTCTGACCAGCGCCTCGGATCTGGGCCTCCATCGTGGGTCTGTTCAGCCTAGCGTTCAGGTGGACGGGAACCAGCGAGAACGGGCGCAGATCTAGTCTGCGCATGGGCGCCAGGCGCTGCAGCTACCCGAACAGGCGGAGTTGCGGCCCCGCCTCCCGGAAGTGACGGCTGCGTTGGTGTGACAGGTTGCCGCCATCTGTCTTCGTCGAATTTATTCGGGGCCGTTGTGCACGCGCCTGGAGACGCTTTGGCATCTGTCGGATCATGCGCGCCAGCTCATGATTCACGTCTTCGTGCGTGTTCAGCAGATATGCGATTGGCCCACATTGTGCCACATTCCGAAGCTTGACTCGGGGCATAGGCTGATTGCCGTTCCGCGCGCTCCTGGGGCGCGGAGTCGCCCCAGCCGCGAATTGCCCAGGCAGTCGGTTGACGGCGCGGGGCTGTCGCGCCAGGCGATCTTCCTTAGACAGCGCTTTCCCCCGCAACCTCCATTCCGAGCCGGCGACCCTGCGAGTGCATTTCTCGGCGACCGCGCTGCTAGACTTGCAGGAGGCCTTCGTTCTGGTAAGGCCCTCCCAGCTGTTCAGTTCAATGGTGGCCTGACCATGGGCTGCCATCCTAGGTAGTCGCGGTTGCTGCTGCGCATGCGTGGTCACTGTAGCATCAGCAGACCCTTCGTCTCGTTCTAGGGCGTCTTGGCGGGTTGCGCCCACGCTGTCTGCATGCTGGAGATTTGGGTGCCGCCCGGTTTTGCTGCGCATCCCGACATTACATGGCGGCCTCACTTCTTGCGCCTTGGTAGATGATGTCTCGATTCAGCTTGCGGGCACGGAAACGAATGGCGGGATGGCGCTGGCCATTGCGATGAAAGTGATCGAGTCCGACTCTTAGATGCTGGGCTCGAAGCCGATTTGGAAGAATCCCGTTTGTCGCTGCCACCCAGGCCGCCCGAGAATTGCGGCGCCAGTGCCCCCAGCCCGCGTGATCCCGCGCTGGGATGCGCAAACCGGGCCAGTAAACTTCGGGGGCACGCCCGCGCAGAACGCTGGAGAAGGCCCGACTGGAGGCGCCACGGCAACGGCCGCAGCGGCCATGCGACGTTTGGAGGTGCAGTTGGGCGCCGTGATTCGTTGCTATAGAGGGCTGGGGCTCAGCCTCTCAGATGATGCGCTGCGACAGGCTCGCGGCGTGGCTGCCATGACTGCGGGCGCTTCTGCGCCCGCGCGCAAGTCGACTTTCTTGCATTCTCAGGGGCAGGTTCGGCACGGCCCAATCTCCGACGCCACCGCCAGCGTAGCCCCCAGCGACCTTCGCGCGGGCTGGGAGTTCTCGGCTGCCAAGGCCGCTGAGACGGGCCTGGGCTTCGCCCAGGCCGCCGCTCCAGGACCTTGCGGCCGTCTTACAATAGTGCAAGTGTTTCACGTATTGAGGGCAGGCCGTTTTCAAAATGTGGCTCTCGCCTTTGCGCCGCGCGCACTCGTCGTAAACATGTACAACAATTTGACGGATTGCGGGCGGTTCGTTTTAAACATGTGGTGGCTCTTGCTTTAGCGCCACGCGCAGTTGCCTTCCAACATACAAGCGTTTCAGGGTTTCCCATGGCCAACGTGCGAGACATGGTGTGCTTGAGTGGTTCAGGATTGCACCGCCTCCTCCTCCCCCTTCCTCATCTTCACCCTCCTCGTCCCCCTCGCGAGCTAAGCAACTCGCCCGACACGTCTCCATAACTGGACATCAGAACGCGTGAAAATCCTGGCCGCCAGACGGGTGGAGGGCGGGCGGTTTTCAACACGGCGCTCACATCGAGACGTCCCCAAACGTTGCGATCCTGACACTTGATGTTCCCAATTGTTGCACGCACGGAGGGCGGGCGATTCCCAACACCAGACTCTCTCTTGAGCTTGTTGTCCACGCTCTGGCAATATAGGTGGAAACTCGACCTAATTCAGGTCGGACGGAAGGGGGCAGTAGCAAAGGGGGGAGGAGGAGGAGGAGGAGGAGGAGGAGGAGGAGGAGGAGGAGGAGGAGGAGGAGGAGGAGGAGGAGGAGGAGGAGGAGGAGAGGAGCGGAGGAGGGGGAGGAGGAGGAGGAGGAAGAGGATGATGAGGAGGAGGAGGAGGAGGAGGAGGAGGAGGAGGAGGAGGCGGAGGAGGCATGCCCCGGGCGGGCCCGCCGCTTGAGGCGCGGGCCACATAGCGGGCGCGCCCAGCAAGCTGTCCAGGGGCAGCGGGGAGCTGCTGGGCGAGGGCCAGGGCCTCCTCGCGCAGGGCTGGCCGCCCCTGCGGCGCTCGCTCTACGACCTGGTGACGACGCGCTGGCCTTCGGAGCAGAAACAGTGACGACGGTCGGACCGAGGTACGGGTTCGAGGGGAAGCTTTAAATCGGGCGTGTCCCTCTACAAGAGAATAATATTCAAAAATAGTCAAAAAATAGTATGGTGACGATTTTGTGGTATGTTTATCATATATGTTGAATATTTTCGTCCCAAATCCGCCTGTAGGAGGACATGCCCGACCCAAGGGAAGCGGAAGCTTTCGCGTTCGAGCGAGGTTTTCGGACGGTTTCGTCGGCTTCCGGCGGCTTTCCAGCCTCGGGATGCGCTCCAGCGGCTGCGCCTGGCCAGAGATTCGAGTTTTGACTCAAAAACCAAAGTCGGCGGCGGACCGGGAAGATAGAGGTCGGTTCGGGGAGGTGACCATGTTTTTCGTGCTTGTTGGATGTTCTGGTGCATCCTGGGGGAGGATACCCTCGAATGCTCTCTGGCTCGGCGGGGAATCTCGTGTTCTTGAAGGATGTTCTTCTGTGCCAGGCCCGACTGTAACACACAAGCACGAGCTCTCGGACACAGATACCCGAGGCTCCGAAGGAGTTGGAGCGGCCCGTGTGGTGCCGTTCTCGGGCTCCGGGAGCCCTCAGAGGGCCGTGGGGCTGTCAGAAAACGATTCAGGACGAAAGAGTTGCCCCAGAGAAGTGTCAAGCAGTGGCGAAGCGTCCTGGCGTGCCTATAGGCCTACCAGATAATGTTCTAAGAACAGTTCGTGATTTCCACGAAATATTCTTAGAACATTTCTGGCCGAGACTGTCTTGTTTAAACACATCGGGTTATGTTATAAGAACATTGTTTTTGTTCTTAAAACATTCGTTGGGGTTCTAAGAACATTTCCTGGTAGGCCTATAAAAATGCCGGGACGGTCAGTCCCTGCTCAAAATGGGTTCAGACTTCTGGGGGTCCAGGCATCGGAAAATAATGAGTGCCTTATGTCTGGGTCCCCATCACCACCGGGTCATGGCATCTCAGCCCGTCCACACCACCACCCCAGTTGGAGAGAGGCCCCTCGAAGCCCAGAGGGAGAAGCCGACATGCCCTTCTCTAAAGGGGTACATCGGCCAGCGGGGCCAAGGCGATGCCAGCGGGTACGGGTGTCGGTGAAATGGTGCTCGGAAGCAGACAATTACGCAGAAACGCAAAATCGTCGGAGGACCGCGCGGCTAGCTTAGGTCGGGCATGTCCTCCTACTGGCGGATCTTGGAAGAAAAAAACAAATAGTCAACACATTCAAAGACAGTCCAAACATCGCCCCCTGACTAGTTAAACAAATGTTTGAATATTCATCCTGTAGAGGGACATGCCCTACTTAAGGATAGCTTGGATCTGCGCTGGGCCCCCGCGGGCGGCGCCTCCGACGCCGCCCCTGGCGCGCTCCGCGCGCTCCGGGAGGAGGGCCCAGCGCCGACCCAAGAGGCCTGCGCGGGCCTCTGCGAGCTCTTGCTTGCGTCTCGCTGGCGAGGCTTCGGGCTGCGCGCAGACGCAGCGCCCCCAGGAAGTCCCGGCTGGCATCGGCAGGCCCCGGGTACCCTTGCATCCTTGCTTCCTCGGTCCATCCTCGGCCACTTTCGTTGGCCGCGCCCCGCTCGAAAAGCTTCGAAATGGGCGTCCAAGGCCCTTACATCTTCATCGCGCATTCTTATGATGCGGGCCGGCTGCAGGGTCATCTTCCCTCAGTGGAGGCACCCCCCCAGACATGCGACGTCTTGAGTTGTTTCAAATCGCGGTGCCTGGAAATCCGGGCTGGCATCGGCAGGCCCCACCGCGTTGTCCTGGGCGGTCTCAATATCTCACCCTTGGGGCGCGGAGCGCACCAAGGGCGCCGCTGGAGGCGGCGCCGGGGGGCTGAGACCGCCCCGGACTCTCCGGGGGGCCTGCTGAGTCGAGACAGGACCACCTGGGGGCGCCGTCTATGCGCAACCCGGAGCCCTACAAGGCATGCGACGTCCTGCTTTTTTGCGATGCGCCGTCCCCAGAAGTCCCGACCCTTTTTCCCCGCACCGGCGTTTCATCCTGAGTCGTTTCTTGAGGGTCTGGGCCCGGAAAGGGCCCCGAGAGGCCGAAGGAGGCCACAAATGTCCCTTCCCCAGACCCCCGACGTCGCGATTTGTTCCCAACGTCGACCCCCAGAGGTCTCGACCCCTGCTCCTGGACTTACGTCGGGCCTGCCCCTCTAAAGGGGGGATATTCAAAAATAGTCAAAAAATAGTCGGGTGACGACTTTTTGAATATTTTTTGGCCATTTGGTGGCATTTTTGGAATATTTTTTATTCTTCGCCCAAACTCCCCCTGTAGGGGGACAGGCCCGATCTAACCCTGGACCCGTTTTTCATCCCGAGTCGTTGTTTTACGGTCCTGAGGCCAGGTGGGGGCCCCCGGAGTCCGAAATTATCGAAAAATTGTCCGTCGTGATTTTTTCACGAAGCGATGGAGGCTTGGGAAGGTTTTGCCACCTCCCGCGAGCGGCCAAGAATGTCCCGTTTTGATGCTTGTCGCGACGCGAGCACCTCTGGGGAGACTTACCGTTGGAAATTGGAGCATGCACATTGCCAGTGCCAGGCATTTTTTGAATCCCGGGACTGATTGAGGGTCGGGGTCGACGTCGAAGTGGTGTGGTGTATATTTATGTCCCCGCTTTCCCAGGGAAGCAACGAGAAATGTATGCACCAGAATCCCGTTTACACCAAGATCAGTTTTCTGGTGCAAATATCAGTGCAGGGCCAGAAAAAGCGTCGGTGTATAGAGCTCGGCTCCTTAAATTACGGTGGGGGCGTTGATTCATGAATGTGCCTAGGAGGTTGCACCCCATGGAGGAGTCCCTATTTGATGAGGGCGGTGGTGATATCCTTTGCCAAGCCTCAATTGGAGTTCCACCGGCCTCCAGACCCTGGGTTCCTTACAGTGGAGACGCATGCCAAGAAACACCCTGCTTGCCTCCAGGGTGCCCTGGGTTTCTCGGGTTTCGATGATTCTTCTGTGGTGAGCGTGGCGCTCCCACGCCAACAAGCAGTGGACGCCCCGGGGTCTCAGGGTTTGGTTTCTTGTGGAAGGTTTCTTGTGGACTGGCCTCCACCGTATCGAAGGGTTCCTTATCCGGTGCCCCCACCGTACTCCAGATGTCGTAATAAAAGGGAGGGGGTCTGGACCCTCCAAGACGAGCCATTTCAGACCCCCCCCCGCGTGGGAGAACCCTCCAAAACATCGCCCCCAGACCCCCCCCAGGCCCTCCAAGATAGCCTGGAAGAGACCCCCCCCGAAAGGAGACCCCCCTCCCTTTATTACGAAATCTGGAGTACCATGCGCCGCGTTGTCTCTTCGCCTGCAGGCCCGTGTGGCGCGCTCTCGAGCGGGTCACCTCGCCCTGCGCGGAGGCGCGCAACGCCCCGCCGCGGCGCGCGCCCGACGTGGAGCTCGTCTTCTGCGGCCGGGCGTGGCCGGGTGCGCAGGAGGCTCGAAGCATGGGAGGGGAAAGCATTCGCGCTGGTCGCCGAACAATCATAAAAACTACTGGAGGTTTTAGCCAGTGTCGGCCTCTGGGGGCCCTCGCCAGGCCTCGGGACCGTCAAAAAGCGACTCAGTACGAAAAACTGGTCCCGCGGGAAGAGTCGGGATTTCCAGGGACCCCGAATTAAACAAATCATTAGTGGTGATCGTTTTCTTATTCCTTATTTTGCCGATCGGCATGGGCCCTTCCCCCCCCCAATGGAGTAGATCTTGGCTGTTTTCGGCGCCTGTTTCAGGCAGGTGGAGTCTCGCAAACAGTCGCATTGAGCAGAGGCCTGGAGCCATTGAGCAGAGGCCTGGAGCCAGACCCCCCCACTTCCGCCCAATGTCGAAACGCCGAATAAGAAAACGCTCACCTGGGCTTCCCAGATGGGGTCGGAGAGGATGGGGTTGGAGGATCGCGCCGCGTCGCCGATGCATTGGCGATGCATCGGCGATGCGGCCTGATGACGTCCACGCCGACGTCGCTGATGCACTCAGCATAGGCATGATTCTGCTTCGAACGATCAGGGAAGGGAAGAGACGCACGGAAGGGGCCTGCCTTCGACTCAACCTCGACGCTCCTGTCCCTTGCTCCTCAAACTCCTTGGGACTGACGACGACGAAGACGACGACGACGACGACGACAGCGTCTTCCACACGCCGAAGGGTCGGCTGATTTTGCTTCGAGCGATCCCGACTCGACAGTGTGAGGTGGGATGCCGCATAGGGATTACCGGCACACTTTGGGCCTGGCGGCCACAGCATGTGTGCGTCGAAGGCGCGGGGCGGGGCACCCCGGGGCAGCACCAGAACGAGAGACCCTTTGGGCCTGGCGGCCGCGACACGGTGGAGTCGACTACACGTACGAGTGACCTTCCGCCGGAGTGACCTGTGGTGCGGGCCCACAGGGCCCCCCCCCCGATTGTTGAGAGCCATGCGATGGCAGCGGCCTGCGGCCACGGGTTGGGCTTCCTCGCGACCGCCCCAGGAGCCGCGCACCAAAGGTCATTCTTGCCTAGGGCTGTGGAGGACGATCAATGGAGAGGAAGCATGTTGCCGAAAAAATCCAGATGTCTACAGCATGTGTTAAACATTTTTTGAACATCTAAAAACACATGTTTAAAACATGTTTAGAACATTTTCCGACATGTTAAACACATTTTAAATTCAATGTTAGGACTGTTAGGGTGTCCATTGCCGTGGCATCCACAAGCCTAGGGTCACTCTTGCGTGCAGCCGATGAAGGCGTTTGTTGAGGAATAGTCCCAGGAGGCGCCAGACCCTGGAGGATTCCTTATCCGATGAGGGCGGTGGTGATATCCATGGCCGATCTACGATGGGAGTTCCATTGGCTTCCAGACCCTGGATTCCTCATCGAAGGTTTCCTTATCCAACGCCCCCACTGTGTGACTACACAGCCCCACGCTCCAGTGCGGCTTACCTTCAGCAAGCTGGGGGCTCAAGCCAAAGTCTGGGTCTTGAGAGGCCCCAAGCGATTCGACCTGTCGACGGACATCTCGGAGGAGGACCAGCTGAAGGCGGAGGAAGCAGCCCAGGACATTGTCTGGCAGGCGCCCCTCCCAACTCCAGGCGAGAGGCCAGATGAGGCAGTTTGCGAGTTCTTCGACAAGGCGGAGGACCATCTGATTGCTATGTTGGGAGTCGCCGACGGCCCCAAGTACCGTGGCAGAGCGGACGGGCTCAAGCGAGTAGAGATCAGCCTCAGGGACCTCCAGCGGACGGAGACCTCCAGAAAGGTAAGCCCTTTGACTAGGCTGTGGCTCTCGCTCGGCAGGCTTGTCAAGCAACTCAGGGCAGCGGCATCGATTCCAGAGCCAGCCAAGAGCCATGTGCTATACATGAAGCACCTGGAGCAGGCGATCGCATCCCTGGCAGCGCAGTTCGACGGCTTGGGCAACTCGATGTTCAACGGCACCAAGATGGACACGATAGTCCACGAGGTCAGGCGCGGCTCCTTTGACGGGCTGCAGGTGATGAAGGCCATCGCCATGGTCACTGACATGCACGTCAAGGGCGATGCGTCCGCAGCCAGGACCCGCTGGAAGGAGTTCGTGGACGAGTCGCTGGCTGGTGGAGGCCGTGGAGCTCATGCTATCAGCAAGAAGTCCCACGGTGAGGCGAAGCCGATCCTCGCGGACGGCAGCGGCGACTCGCCTCCGGTACCACTGGTGGGCCAAGCGGCCTTGGATCAGATGCTGGTGGAGTGGAAGGCCCTGTGGAGCAGCGGGGATGCACAGCAGAACAGTCCTGCTGACTGGCCTACCACGTCGGAACTGCCCCCGATCACGGCGGAGGAGGTGCTAGAGACGGCGAGGACGTTCGCGAAGAACACGGCGCTCGGATGGGATGGATTCCACCCCAAACTGCTGTTGATGCTGGGAAGGCCGTTCGCGCAGCGCATGGCTGACGTGCTGACGCAATGGGAAAGGCACCCGCAGCCGACGGCGACGTTCACCACGCTCATCGTATTCTTGGGCAAGCCTGGGGGCAGGCACCGCCCCATCGGCTTGATGTGCTTTTGGCTCCGTGTGCGGGGCAGGATTCGCAGGCAGTACTGTTTGCAGTGGGAGCGAGCCCACCGCCTTCCTGAGATTTGGGGCAGCAGCTCGGACACCTGCTGCGATAGGGCAGCGTACTTGCACAACTTGTACCTCGGCCTTGCTCGGAAGGTCGGCTTCGACGGAGTCTCGGTCTACTTCGACATTAGGAAGTTCTACGAGAGGATTGATCATGGGCTGCTTCTGAAGGCGGCCGAGCTAAATGGATTCTGCACAGGCTTGGTGCGTGCGCTCTGTGTGGCATACTCGGGACCGAGGAGAGCGACGGCTGACAGCGCCGTCAGCGAGGTGATCTACGCGAGGGGCACGGTCATCGCAGGCTGCTCTTGTACGACGACGATGGCTAGGCTCATGCTGATGGACCTTCTTGTCAAGAGTCGTGCGAAGCTCCCCATAGGTCGGATTGTCAACGTGATCGACGACATCTCGGGCAATGGAATAGGATCCAGAGGAGTGCTGGTTAGTCAGATGAACAGCTCCGCCCAGGGCGTCGTGGCGATGCTGAGGGACAAGCGGCTCCCGATCAACTGGGGCAAAACGAAAGTGCTGGCCTCCTCAGTGGACCTCCAGCGCGAGCTGATGAAGCAAGAGGGGTGGCCGCTGGACAAGGTCGCCTTTGCTCGTGACCTCGGTGGTGACGCGACTGCTGGTGGACACCGCATGGTGGCGACGCAGGTCAAGCGAGAACTTGACGCACTCCGTCAAGCTGGACGATTGGCACGCATCTTCGGACCTGGCCTTCGGCAAGCTAGAGTGATGCGTGCTGGGCCGACGGCCAAGGCGCTCTGGGGCTCGGCCATAGCTGGAGTCCCACCTGGGCGCATGAGGGCGCTGAGGGTGGCAGCTGCGAAGTGCGCTGGTCGCTTGCCGCCTGGAGCGGCCCTCAGTTTCGCCCTGCAGTGCGCGCCCCGCGGCTGGCGGCAGGACCCGCTGGTGGTGGCAGTGGGCATGGCAGTTCCGGCTTTCGTCAACGTGGTGCGGTCTGGCCAAGCCACAGCCTCAGCCATCCAAGCGTGCGTCCAAGAGAGCCAGCAGGTGCTCAGCAAGCAACGGCCTTGGAGTTCGGTCCGTCAGCCGATAGCGGCGCCCACGCTCACCCTGCAGAGGATAGGCTGGCGGCTTTCCTCCGACGGCACCAAGCTGCTGGACGAGGACAAGGGGGAGTTCGAGGTGCTGCATTTCTCGCCCGCGTTCCTGGCGGAGAAGGCCAGGGGGGCCACGAGGAAAGCGGCTGCGCTGGAGGAGGCTCGAGCTCGACCTGGATCGCTTTGGCCATGGAAGTTGCCGCCTCAGTGGAGACCAGTCAACGAGCTGCTCGGCAAGAAGGAGACGGAGACCTGGAATGGGCACCACAAGGGCTGCCTGCGCTGGCTGGTCTCGCTCTCGCACTGGCCTCAGGACCGTCTGGCGAGGCACTCCTCCGACATCGACCCGTTCTGCAAGCTCTGCCAGGCTGCACGTGGCACGATGTTCCACAGGCACCATGTCTGCCCAGCTTGGGAACCTTGGCGGCGTGACAGGCTGCCGTCGGACCTGAAGCGCGCTGCTCGGGTGGTCCACGAGATGGGCCCGCCTTTCGACGAGTTGTTCTGCCAGGGCCTGTTCGTGGACCCCTCCCTGCTGCTGCATCGCCCGCGCTGGCAGCCCCAATTGGAGCGGCTCTCTCATGGTTGGCAGGAAGCTGTTGTGGTCGAGGACGGCGCCATGGTATTCACCGACGGCTCCTGCTTCCTCGGTGACTTTCCGCGCCTGCGCAGCGCGGGCTGGTCGGTCGTCGTGCTATCCAAGGAAGGTGCCATCTTAGCCGAAGCGTGGGGGGCGGTCCCCCCCCAGATTATGCCCATCGCAGACGGCACGTGCGGGTGAAGACTACGCAGCAGTGGCGGCGCTCACAGAGGTCATCGGCAACTACCAGCTGCTGATCGACTGCCAGGGCACAGTTGACACGGCGCTCAACCTCGGCAGAGCTCAGGGCCCAACTTCGCCCTACGCCCACCTGTGGGCCAGAGTCGGGGATGCCGCCGAAGGTGTGAAGATCAAACGCATTCCTGCACATCGGTCAGAAGCGGCTGTGGCCAGAGGAGAGCTGTCGGCCATCGAGCTGTTCGGCAACCGCCTAGCTGACCAGCGAGCGAAGGAAGGAGCCGCCCTCCACGCCCCCTCGGTCGACGACATCCAGCTCCTGGAAGGCTGCCTGGCCAGGGCACGGGATGCAGCTCGCTTTGCCGCAGAGATTGAGGTCTACATCTCAGATTCTGGTATGCGAGACTGCTGGCCTACGGAAGCACTGGATGAAGTCAACCTCCAGCCGTACCTCTACCCGTGGAACCTGACGTGCGAGGATGAGGGCTACGGCCTGCTGGATATCTCCACAGCGCAGCGTG